GGCCTCCTCCGAGAAAGGGATAAGAGAGCGCGGACGACGGACGACGACAGGAGGCAGCATTGACAGACAGACAGAAAGCGCGGGACAGACAACCAGAAGTTGGAAGGGGTGATCAATGCAGAACGAGCGAAGAGATAGCAGCAGGGCGTGAGGGGGGAAAGACGAGGCGTGAAAGAGAGAGGGAAAAAGGAACACAAAGAGCAGGCAACACGAGAGAGAGAGACGGAGAGAGAGAGAGAGAGAGAGAGAGAGAGACAGACAGACAGAGAGGAGAGAGCAGCGAGAGAAAGTAAGTGAAAACAAGTTAACGAGGAGGGAGGAAGGAGGCGTAAAGAGAAGACGGAGAGGAAAGGCTTATTACATCTATAACACTACCGAACCAATGTAAATTCCGCTCCCTCGGTCACCTTAGCGGAAGTTGAAGGCTTCAGACCGTTGCTTGCACCAAATGTATTGCTCCAACGTGCAGGCGCTGGCGGGTGACGCAGTTTTTCCAAACGTGTTCAGGTGAATTCCAATGCGATGCGTTTGCCTGGAGCTATCAGTAGCGTGCTGTGGTTCATACACGTAACATGTGCATTTTGGCGACCGTATGGTAACTCGCTTTAATAAGAAACCTCTGTTTTGACACTTGAACAGCGTTACGTCACGCGCTCTGCTAAATGTAATTGTGTGTTCGCGTTGTAATTATTGCAAATCCTAGTTGCCCCGCGTAGATGAAATGTCGTTGTGAACAGATTGCGGTAGAGCATTGGGTGCCGTAGCATGTACTCGCTGTATGGTGTACTCGCTCTTCTGGTTCTCTTTCTTCCTCGTTCCTTTTTTCTTTCTCCCTCTTTTCTCTCGTCTTTCCACGTCTTGTTTCTTTCCTCGACATTGTGTCTCTCTGTCTCGATCTTCTTTGTTCTCTACCCTTCTCCTCGCCTCGTATTTCCCTTTTTTCCTCTTGCTTCTTTTTTTAACCCCACTTCTTTCTCCTTCTCGTCTTTCTCCTTCGCGTTTTCTCCTCGACGGCCGTCCTACCCCTCCTCCTCTTCATCTCTTCTTTCCTTTGACTATTCCTCCTCCTATTCTCTTCCTCTTGTTTCCTTCCCTTTCTCCTCCTTCTCGGTCTCCTGTTCTGCTCCTCTGTTCTCCTGTTTCTCCTCCTTCTCCTTCTCTTGAATCTCCTCTTCCTCTTCTATCTCTAATTATTTTCTCTCCGCATTTCCGTTTTTTTCCGTCGTTCCTTTTACTCCTCTCCTCTCCTTCCCTTTCCGTCCTGTTTCTTACTTTCCTCTCCTCCTTTCCTCCCTCTTCCTCATCCTCCTTCTCCTGACATTTGCCGCATTCGTCCTCAAACTTTACTCTCCTCTTTTCCGGAGCCTAATCGTGTTATACCTTTCCCGATTCTCTTATATTTTAACACAGACATATGCTGCATTCGCTTATTTTTGCACTGCGGCCTTTTCTCCTCATTATATGCGAGCAACTAACCACGCCTCCCCGGTGCGTTAGCACTTTTTTTTTTTTACCTTTTCTATTTCAGCTTCAATTGTCTGCTTCGAATATAAAACTCGGCCATGTAATCTGGCAGCGCTCACGGCGCGTCTCAGTAAAGGAAGTGTTTCACGTTCGTCTTTCTGCATTTTTCCTCCTTCATTCTCCTCATCTTAGCATTTTTTCCTTTTGATCTAAGGTCCTTCGCGTGTCGGATCCCACGAGAAACAGCCAGTGATTACACAGGATCGTACCAGCTCGTAAGTTACGCAGTTTTAGCAGATCATTATCATTGCATGTCTGGGACACGTGTACATCGATGTGCGCAACTGTTTAATTAAGCTCGCATACATTTGCTGATTGTTTAGTACTGGCAGTTCATAGCCCTGTTTAGACATCGCTAATATGTAAATATTGGGATGGTACGAACGGCGGACAGACGGAAGGCTTGATAGACAGACAGACAGACAGACAGTTCGCGACAGACGGAAGGACGCGGCTAAAGGAAGGACAGACGCGACGGATGGGACGGACGGTATGGACGGACGACGGACGGACGGACGGACGACGGAACGGACGATGGACGGACGGACGGCGCGCCCGATCTTACTTCGCTCACCAAATTATTGGGGCATGCAATTAGTTAGCAGAACTAACAATCCTTGAAAAATTGCTATGTACGGTTTTAGCTGTATCTATATCGTGGGCTTTCAGCCGCCCGGTCCGTGCGCGCCGTGTGTGTGCATTGCGTGCGTGCGTGCGTGCTTGGTGTGTGCTGTGTCTAGAAGTTCATCACATATCGCCAAGTAAACTGCAAAAATTCAAAAATTTTCGCTGCTGTCGCATTATATCACCCGCTATAATTATAATGAATAAATCCACGATTTTTTTCTACGTTGCAACACGTGGCCAAACAGTAGACAGCCTGCGGACTTTTTACTTTGTTATTCACATGCAGTTGGTATACACGCACGCCACGGCTCGCTCGCACGCACGCACGGCACGCACGCACGCACGCACCGCACACACACACACACACACATACCACGCGCACGCCACACGGCAACACACACACACACACACATACACGCGCGACGCACACACGCACACACATATACACAACACGTTGGCGCACACACACGCACACACACACACACACACACACCACAACACACACACATACACACACGCGCGCATGCCACACACACACATACACACGACGCAGCGCACGCACACACGCACGCACGCACGCACGCCGCACAACATACATACACATACACGCACGCGCACGGACACACACACATACACACACGCGCCGCGCACGGCACAACACGCGCACACACGCACACCGTGACACCAACCACACACACTGCACACACACCAGACTTTACACACACACACACACACACAACACACACACACACACACACACACCAACACACCACACTACACACACCACACACAAACATAGAGAGAGAGAGACGACGACCTGTTGATTAGCGTTAAAACCAGCTTGGGCCTCAACTATTGACCTTGACACGCATCCACTTCTACGTCAAGCACGTAGACCAGGTTTCCATGGTACGCTGCGCTGCAGGGACCCAAGCGGAGAGTGCGGTTTCTATTTTGTGCTAGTAACGGGCTACGTTTATTACCTTGCCTCGTACATTGGGACATAAAAACGCGCATAAACCTCCGCCTTTACTAACGGTATACGCGTATAACTGATGGAATTAATAATGTGATGGAGAAATAGAATAAAGAGGAGAGAGAGGAGAGAGAGAGCGAGAGAGAAAGAGGAAGAGAGACGTGGCCGAGGGAGAGAGAGAAACCAATAGAGAGAAAGAAGGCACGTGCATGAGACGAGAGAGAGATGGCAGAAAGAGAATAGAGAGATAGGAAAAGAGAGAAGAGGAGAGAGAGAGAGAGACGAGAGCAGAGACTGAGGAGAAGAGAGAGAGAGAGAGTGGGTTGGATGGATGGATGGATGGATGGGGATGATGGACATGGATGGATGGATGGATGGATGGATGATGGTGGATGGATGGATGATGGGAATGGATTGGATGGATGGATGAGATGGATGGATGGATGGGATGGATGGATGGATGGTGGGATCGGGATGGATGGATGGATGGATGGATGGATGGATGGTATGGATGGATGGATGGATGGATGGATGGATGGATGGATGGTGATGATGCGATGGATGCGATGGATGACATGGATGGTTATGGATGGATGGATGGATGAGATGGAATGGATGGTATGATGGATGGCATGGATGGATGGATGATGATGATGGAGGATGGAATGGATGATATGGATGGTAATGGCTGATGGATGGATGGATGGATGGATGGCATGGTTGGATGGTATGAGATGGATGGATGGATGATGGCATGGATGGATGGAATGGATGATGGATGGATGGCCTGGATGATGGATGGATGGATGGATGGATGGATGGTGGATGATGATGGAGGGATGGCTGATAGAGGATAAAAACCGGAAGAGAGAGCGAGGATGACGAAGATTGAGAGAGGGTGTGAGAATGAGAGTGAGTGAGCGAGTTGGCGAGAAATAGGAGAGTGATCGAGATATAAAGCAGAGAAAGAGAGAGAGGGGAGGGCAGAGAGAGAGAAGAGGCGTGCGAGAGAGAGAGACGGAGGGGTATTGAGAAAGAGAGGGAGAAGCGAGTGTAGCGGGATAGAGAGAAAGTGAGGCGATAAGAGCGGGAGAGAGATACAGAGAGAGAGAGAGAGAGGAGAGAGAGAGAGAGAAGAGAGAGAGAGGGAGAGGGAGGCGAGAGTGAAGGGCGAGGAGGGCGGCGAGAGTGATGGGAGAGAGAAAGGTGGGCGAGGGAGTGGAGCGTGAAACCGGAAGAGAGAGAGAGAGAGAGCGCGCGCGAGAGGATGACAGAGAGCGAGAAGCCTGGACTCGCCGGGACGGACGCGTCGGCCGCGCGCGCCGCGTGCGGAGTAAAGAGCGAGAAGCGATGTGATCTAAGATAGAGATAGCATGAGATGAGTTGAGAGATGAGAGAGAGAGATGATGAGGAGAGAGAGAAGAGAGAGAGGAAGGAGCGGTATAAGAAAGAAGAGGGAGAAAACCCATGGCCGCCCAGTGAGAGATATAGAGTGAAAAAGAGGGAGAGAGCGGGAGAGGAAGAGAGAGAGAGAGAGAGAGAGAGAGAGAGAGAGCCGATACAGAGAGCGAAATAGAGGGAGAGAGAGGGAGAGAGAGGGGAAGAGAGAGAGAGATAGAGAAACAATCGTGGAGGATATACACGAGATAGGTGGGATAGGAGAGTCGCCTCGTCGTATCTTCGAAACGAAGATCACGCCAGCGTAGCACACAGTAACGACTATAACGTTCTACTCTGATTGCACTCGTGCGTCAATGGCGCGTGACATGGTCACATGAAAAGCTACGAACACAGGACGACTGACACTGCGTGCTCTTCCACCATCGGTTAGCCTTACTCAAATACAACGATGTTTAAATAGAGAAATTTGCGTGCAACCTACAGTATGTGCCCGCTAGTCTCAATAGGCAGGCGAGTCTATTGAAATCCTTTTTAAAGAAAACAAGAAAAGAATCCTTTCGAAATCATTACTAAAACACAAAGTCTGGGAAAAAAATCTAGCGAGATATAGTCTCACCTAATAGCGGATGTTAATGTTACTGATTACACCAAGTTGAAAAACTAAGAATTTACTCATAGAAAATAAATTAGAATTGAACACGTCGCAACGCCATTGCATATTTGTTTATAGCGACAATTAATTTGCAAATTGCGCTTTGAAAACAAGTACAACCATAGTGCACCTAATTCAAACAAAAAGGCATCTGATTCTGTATAGTGAACTCGGTGCGATTTAAAACATTACTTATGCCTGACCGATGTCTCGCGCTATTGCGAGATAGTCGGAAATTCGCAGGAAATGGCAGCGGAAATCAAAGCGAGTACTGAAAATTCGAATCGTGCATGTTTGGTGGAATACTAGCTAAGTAAGCGTTACTCTAGACAGTTGCTGTTGCTCAAGCAATAACGGTATGTATCGTAAAGGTGGGAGAAAACAAGAGACCGGTCGGAAGTTATTTTCGAAATCCTTACTTTGACACGTGCTTATCCAACTTATCTGCAGGAGTATGGCGTTTTCTACCTGCAAACGTACTGCGCGCAAAGCTCGTAAAAAGCAAGAGGTTACGTCTTTTGATGTGTGAGGCCTGCGAGAGTTTTAGATGCATTTTACTGGAAGATTGAGGTTTTGCCGTCAGCTGCATGCATGTACGCACGCATGCCAGCACGCACGCCGTATAAGGTGTGCCCCAGCGTTATCCCTGGCTAGTTTCCCGCGAGTAATTAGTTACCCAGCAGGTGTGTCATAATATAGTACGTGCATCTATGTAGTACGTGACTAGTATGTGCATCGATTTAGTAATCATCAAGGGCTAATAACATTAAGAGGTATTATTCATCTATATTATGACACTCCTGTGTACAGTAGTCCTCTACCCGACAGCAGCACCATCGACTTCTAGAATGAGTCAATTCATGTCCGGTTTAAATCACGAACGAATGTCTCGCGTATAGGTTATTTGCGTGCGCAGCCTGCAATGTACCGCAGATTGTAAGACGCCCCGGTGCATAAGTCGCACCCCATAAATTTCCTTCAAGAGGCAATAATCGGACAAAGATGACTACATAATAGCCCCTCCCCTGTTATTACCAGAAATGTGTTCATCGTATATAAGGTCGCACCACTGCTTCTACTCGTTCCCATCAAATTCCTGTATTTCGCAATCGGCCTCACTATCGCCCTTAGCTCGTCCACATTGTAGGTTATTCCGCTGATGTGTATACTATACCATACCCTAGCTAAAGGACCTCAGCTATAATACTGACGAGTCCGACCCTCAGCTTATAGGTTGCAAGGTGGGTTTTAACACATTTTATGAGGGAAAATGCGTCCTACAAGCCGCAAAAAAACACACCTGAACATGGTGTTACACGTGGTAAAAGTAGTGCGCTGCCACATCCTTTCCTGATAGCCTAAGATGGTGTTACGCGTGGTAAAAGTAGTATCGCTGTATCGCCATCGTCATCGTCTTCTCTTCTAGTTTGTCGAAGAGCGAAACAGACGACGATAAGAAGCACAATACGGCGACCTCTAGCGGAGGATCCGCCGGTAGCCACAAGAAGAAGGCCCATGGCGACCAGCCGCCCCCGGAGCCGACGTCGCCACCGCCCCCTGCCGCCAGCAGTGCCCAACAAGGTTCCGATCTAGGTAGGTTGGTGAGTGAGTGAGTGAGTGAGTGAGTGAGTGAGTGAGTGAGTGAGTGAGTGAGTGAGTGAGTGAGCGAGCGAGCGAGCGAGCGAGCGAGCGAGCGTTCGACTGAGTGAGTGAGTGAGTGAGTGAGTGAGTGAGTGAGCGAGCGAGCGAGCGAGTGAATGTGTGAGTGTGTGAGTGTGTGAGTGTTTCATGATCAAAGCAGAATAATTGTCCTTTCCGTCTGAGCGAGATAATCATCTCCTGCCTCTTTTGATATCGTTGCTAGGTTGGCCAAACTAAACCAGGTCCTACGTGACTTTCCACGCGTGCCCGCCAATTTGTCGACTTTGTGTCAATTCGGTACTGCACAACATTGTTTTTTGGAATACACATATTGCAACCAGGATCAGCTAGAGCTACCTTAATTGTAAGTCGCGCCAGGTGGATGGATCGACCCGCTTTCGTGTCTAAGGAATACATTCACCCCCCCCCTCTCTCTCTCGCTCTCTCTCTCTCTCTCTCTCTCTCTCTCTC